AAATTTATTGCCTTTTTCCCCTAGAATAAAAAGAATTTAACAGTAACAAATAATGTTGAAAGTGGAAGTCTGCTGTAATCTCTCCCTGCCAGAGAACCATTATTCACAGTTTGGGTATTTTCCTCCAGACTTTTTCTAAAACATGTTCTGGCATCATATTATTATTGTTTCTCAAGTAATTGTAAATGGCATAAATTTAAAATGTGGCTATATCAATACAAATTCTATTGTGAAACATGAACTTAAAGGAACCTCTGTATTTTCAAAGCAGACCTATGAGTTAAATCAGAATGTCTGTCAAAGGTCCCAGCAGCATTTGCTTGTGTAGCTTATAAAATGAGATCCCTGTTCCTAGAACTGGTAAATGTTTATCTTGCATGATTCATTTGATTAGCTGATATATTGAAAGACAAATATAAACCCAAACTCATTTTTATTAAATGTGAAGAGGATGGAACAAGAAAACGGCCACATAACAGGAAAGATAAGGTCTCTTTTGCTTTCAGGTTATCAGCTGTTGTTGAGGGACTGATATCAGAATAATTCTAAGCAGGCTTCTTAGTTCTGGAAACTCTGGAAAGTGAAGTCAACCGTAATGTGCAAAGAGAAGGTGACTCCCAGATAAAAATGTAAATTTTTACTGCCACTGCACTAGTAGTAACCGGCAGATGCATCCATGGTGATAATTTAATGAGCTTTTTTATTATTCCCGTTGGAAAAAGTGACGTTTCATTTATACGATGGGGCGTTTACGTTGTCGTCAGCAACAGAAAAAATTGCTTACCACAGGACGTTGCTATGAGAAGACGCTTTTTGCTTGTTTGTTTTCCCACAGTTACACCAACCTTTCAGTTAGTAAGGAGCTTTGGTGGCGCAGTGGCTAAGCTCTCGGCTGCTACCCAAAAGGTACAGTTTGGACCTACCAGCCACCCTGTGGGAGAAAGACGTGGCAGACTGCTTCTGTGAAGATTACAGCCTTAGAAACCCTACGGGGCAGTTCTACTCTGTTCTGTAAGGTCCCTGTGAGTTGGAATCGACTCATTGGCGATGGGTTTCGGTAGCCAAGCTGAAACCATTTGTACCACCCAGGGACCTTAAGTACTATCAGGGTGATTGTAATTGCATTTCTGGAGGATACTATTAAAATGTGCTAATTCATGTAATGTTTTGAGGATAGGTGTCATTTCTTTGGTGCTTGGAGCTTGAGGAATAACATTATATGAACTCTTTATATTTACACTCAACATAGGAAATATTCATTATACAAATACTTTTTGAGCACCTACTGCATTGCTCCAGTGCAAGGGATGCGGTAGAGAAAGAACAAAACAGAAAAAGTTGCTGCCCTCATGGAGTTTACACTCTGGTAGGAGAGCTAGATCATAAACAAATAAATACGTAATATCCAGGGGTAGGTTCTATGCAGAAAAGTATAGAAGGGTAGGGGGATAAAGATATGAAGTTGACGGTGGTGGGGGATGCCATTTATATACTGTGGGCTGGCAGGGGCTCACAGGTAAGGCAGTTTCTGGGTACCTCCGGTAGAAATGTTCTCAGTAGAGAGGACAGCAATTGCTAAGGCCCTGGGGCTGGAGTGTGCTTCGTCTACTCAAGGAACAGCTGGGAAGCCAGTATGAATGGAGCAAAGGGAAGTCAGGAAAGAAGAGATGAGGTCAGAGGAGGAATAGAGGGGCTAGAGGAGGATGGGCAGAGCATGTCAGGCCTAGCACCAATCCTGATGCCCCATTCTTCTTCATATAGTCCTGCTTCTTGGATTATTTACTCAGCATACAGACTGAATAGGTATGGTGAAAAGGTACAACCCTGACGCACGCCTTTCCTAACTTTAAACCACACAGTATCCCCTTGTTCTTTTCGAAGACTGCATCTTGATCTATATACAGTTTCCTCATGAGTACAATTAAGTGTTGGAATTCCCATTCTTCGCAATGTTATCCATAATTTGTTATGATCCACACAGTCGAATGCCTTTGCCTAGTCAATAAAACACAGGTAATCATCGTTCTGGTATTCTCTGCTGTCAGAGAATACCAACACTTCTTAGTGTCTTTTTATTGTAGCCATCCTAGTGGGTGTAAAGTGGTATCTCGTTATGGTTTTGATTAGCATTTCCCTTTTGGCTAATGATGTTGAGTATCTTTTCCTGTGCTTACTGGCCATTTGTATATCTTCTTTGAAGAAATGTGTATTCAGATCCTTTGCCCATTAAATTTTTTTAAATCTTATTATTGAGTTGTAATCATTCTTTATAAATTCTAGAAATAAGTCCCTTATCAGATCTATGATTTGCACATATTTTCAGTCCATTCCATGGGTTGTCTTTTCCACTGTCTGGATGGTGTTCTTTGAAGCACAAATGTTTTTAATTGTGAAGAGGTTAAATCTGTCTATTTTTCAGGAAACTATGGCCCCCATAACCCTGCTAACTCAGGACTGAAACCCCTCTTGAAGCCCACTTTTCAGACAAAGATTCGACAGGCCTATAAAACAAACAATAACACACATGAGGAACATGCTTCTTGGTTCAATCAAATATACAAGAACAAATGGGCAACTCCTTCCCAAAAGCAAGACAAGAAGGCAGCAAGGGACAGAAAAAACTGGATGAATGGACATGGGGAACCCGGTGTGTAAAGAGGGAGAGTGCTGTCACATTGCAGGGATTGCAACCAATGTCACAGAACAATACGTGTATAAATTTTTGAATGAAAAACTAATTTGAGGTGTAAACTTTCACCTAAAGCACAACAAAATTAAAATAAATAAATAAATTTATCTATTTTTTTCTTTTGTTGCTTGTGCTTTTGGTGTCATCTAAGAATCCATTGGAGCCCTGGTGGCGCAGTGGTTAAGAGCTCGGCTGCTAACCAAAAGGTTGGCAATTCGAATCCACCAACTGCTCCTTGGAAATCCTATGAGGCAGTTCTACTCTGTCCTACCAGGTCGCTATGAGTCTAAATTGACTCGACGGCAATGGGTTTTTGGCTTGGTTTAAGAATACATTGTCTAATTCAAGGGCACAAAGATCTACTCTTATCTTTTTTTCCCCCTAAAAATTTTATAGTTTTAGTAGAACAAAATTCTAACTCATAAAAAAGACCAGACTTACTGGTCTGACAGACTGTAGAAACCCTGAGAGTATGGTTCCCGGACACCCTTTTAACTCAGTACTGAAATCACTCTTGAGGTTCACCCTTCAGTCAAAGATTAGACAGGCTTATAAAACAAAATGAGATTAAATGGGCACACCAACCCAGGGGCAAAGATGAGAAGGCAGGAGAGGACAGGAAAGCTGATAATGGGGAACCCAAGGTCAAGAAGGGGGAAGTGTTGACACATCATAGAGTTGGCAACCAATGTCATAAAACTATATGTGTATTAATTGTTTAATGAGAAACTAATTTACTCTGTAAACCTTCATCTAAAGCACAATAAAAAAGAAGTTTTATAGTTTTAGCCCTTACATTTATTTGTATAATCCACTTTGAGTTAATTTTTTATATAGTGTGAGATAGGGGTCTAATTTCATTCTTTTGCATGAAATATCCAGTTATCTCAGCATCATTTCTTAAAGACTATTCTCTTCCCACTGAATTGTCTTGGGAGTGTTGTCAACAATCAACTGGCCATAGATATATGGGTTTATTTTTGGACTCTCAATTCTATTCCATTGATCTATTTGTCTGTTCTTATGCCAGTACCACACTGTCTTGATTACCGTAACTTTGTAGTAAGTTTTGAAATCAGGAAGTGTGAGTCCGCCAACTTTATTCTTCTTTTTCAAGATTATTTTGGTTATTTGGGGTTCTTTCCATTTGCATACGAATTTTAGGATCAGTTTGTCAATTTCTGCAAAAAAGTCTGCTGGGATTTTCATAGAGATTGCATTGAATCTGTAGATTGCTCCAGAAAGTATTGCCATCTTAGCAATATTAAGTCTTTTGACCCATGAACAGGGGGTGTCTTTCTATTTATTGAAGTCTTCTGTAATATTTTTCAGCACTATTTTGTAATTTTCAATGTAGAAGCATTGCACTTCTTTTGTTAAGCTTATTCCAAAGTATTTTATTCTTTTTGATGCTATTGTAAATGGGATCTTTTTTCTTAATTTCATTTTTGGATTGTTCATTGCTAGTGTATAAACATACACTTGATTTTTGTACATTGATCTGTATCCTGCCCTACAGAAAGTTTTAACTTCATTAAGGGGGAGAAAAGACTTCAAAACTGTTTCCATCAGGGCCATAAAAGGTTTCTATTGTACCACATTTGGTCAAAAAGATTACTGACAAAAGCTAACATTTATCGAGCACCTGTCATGTTACTTTCTTATGCTTGAAACCTCCCAATGGCTTCCCATTGCTTTTACAACAGGAAAATAGACCAGAATCCATAGCATGACCTCCAAGACCCTGGATGATTAGATCCATCTCTACTCTGCAGTCCTATCCCTCCTTATTTTTCCCTTTGCCCTGTGTCCTCCAGCTACCTTGTCATCCTCTGCTTCCTCCATGCTCCTTCCTGTCTCAGAATCTTCATTTCCACTCTTTCTCTTGCCTGGTCACTACCAACTCCCCGTGCCATCCTCCCTCCACAATTATCAGTAGAAAAGCCTGGACTGTACTCCTTCCTAGTAGACAAAATTGTGTTTTTTTTAATGTCTATCTCTCCCACTAAATTGAATGTGTATATTGTTCACATCTGTGTCACCAGTATCCTACCCAGCACCTGACAGGTAACTGGAGCTCAATAAAGAAAGTAGATAAACTGTGTTCCAGGCACTTCACATACATTATCTTGCTTATTCTTATGGTACATGTTGCAAATGAGGAAACTAAAGCATAAAAAGGTAAACTGGCCCAAAGTCACATAGCTAGTAAGTGGCAGAGTCATGATTCTGGTAAGATCAGTTTGATTGTTTTAGAGTTTAAAATAACCCCTCCTAGAGAGACGTGTTCATCTCTTGATTTGTCTTCCAGTGGAGACTTTCCAGAAACTGCAGAAGGCAAAAGAGGTTCTGACCAACGAAGAGAGTCGAGCCCGCTATGACCACTGGCGAAGGAGCCAGATGTCGATGCCCTTCCAGCAGTGGGAAGCTTTGAGTGACTCAGTGAAAACGGTGGGTGTCTGTCTGGTGATGATAGGAGTTAGTGAAGCTCAGGCTGCCCAGGGGTTAGACTAATGTAGTAGCTTAGAGAGTTAATAGGCAATGGGAATGAGAAGTCCAAGAATCTGGTAGAGTCTGGATATACCTCAGTGTCCACAAAATCTTATGAAGAGAAATTCACCATCATAAAGGCAATGAATTGATGCCAGAAGAGCCCGTGACCACGTTTTTCAGTCGCTTTGGCTGTTTGTTTCAGTACAGACCCTCTCCATCTTCATTTACTGTTTTATGTGTTTTGATAAATGTGCTTCTCAAGTTGCTCATATACTGTACTGTTGAATTTTGAACCGTTGCTTATTTATCTCCTCCATGTTTTATATAGAAAATGTAATTTTAGAGGTTTCTATATTCTTAGGCATGATTTATTACCCAGATTCTTTCCATAGGAACACTCTTATGATACGAGACTTGGAATACTGAAGTCATCTTATAGACAAGTTTTCAGGGACACTTGTTAGAATTATTCTATAAAGTTATTCACATCTCTTAAATTACAACCCTTCAGGTTTATAGATTTTTTTATTTATATTTTCTTCTTAATAGTTTTTATTTTAAGAAGACTTGAGCAAATTATGTTTCCACTGATAAAAGGTCTGTAAGAGGGAGGGAAGGAGGGCCTTTGAAGTAATAGAGAAGAACAATGCAAAACTTTCAAAGTATATGATTAAAGCCACTGTACCTAAAATAAAAATTTTCCTTCATCTCGTTTTGGAATTAAGAATATATTCATATGTATTTGTTTAAAGTGAGTTAATTATTTGTGTGAGACTAACCATATGATTATTGTATATATGCACACACATATAAAAAAAAAAGCTAGAGGAAATCTTTCTAAAAATAATGACAACTTTACATACTCAGAAATGGATTCTTTTTCCTTTTGAATTGTGTGTACCCAAAATTCTTTGTTAACATTGACTCAATAAGCATTGTTCTGTTCCAGCACCTACGCATGACCATATTTCCATTCTCTGAAGTATGACACACTGTGACTGCAACTAAATTAGTGACCCTTGCTATTCTAACGCCTTTTTGATTTATATTTTGTTTTTCTTGATGATCTGCTCAACTGTCACTTAGCTTTTAACAGCTGATATCAAGTTAGCTGTAGATTTTCCAAGCACTCTTCCCCAAATCCCTGTTCTAATTTCTATTGCCAACATCTTTCCATTAAATACTAATTTCCTGTCTCCAGACACATCCGTCTTTGTTCTTGTGTTCCTTGCAGTGTCTTCCTTTGCCTTTGTCATGTTGTGCTGATTTCCCCCATGTAGCGTGTTGCCTTTTCCTTAGCCAATATTACCAAGTGTCTTCTATTTATTCAGTAATTTACCTTCCATCTCCCTCCCTTTCCTGGTAACCATCAAAGAACTTTCTGTGTGTACAACATATTAATTGTTACTTTCTGTGTGCATTTATTTAATCTGTTCATTCTTTTGCATTCACTACTTGAGAGAAATTAATAACAGTTATACCAACTAGTGTTCATCACCTAATAGATCATTGTTTCTTTCTCTATAGATAAAGAACATCATGAGAGTATTTAGGTTAGGTATTTTACATGTGCCATTCTGACAATAAAATAATTATAACTTTAGGATCTGAATTTCAGGTGACTTTTATCTGAAACACACCTGCATGTTCATTTGCCCCACACATTTATAGATAGTTAAATCTGATAAAATCTCTACCCTTCACATTATCAATCCTGTATTTCTGCTTTGTATTTAAGGAGTATAATCCCTCTAAGGAGCCCTGGAGGTGCAATAGTTAAACACTCGGCTGCTAACGGAAAGGTTGGTAGTTTGAACCCACCTAGTGGCTCCATGGGAAGAAGACCTGGCAATCTGCTCCCATAAAGATTACAGCCTAGAAAACCCTGTGGGGCAGTTCTGCTCTGTCACGTGGGGGTGCTGAGTCAAAATCGACTTGATGTCACATAATAACAACAACATAATCCATCTGGAGTCTCTGGGTGGTCAAATGGTTAACGTGCTCAGCTGCTAACTGGAAGATTAGTGGTTCGAGTCCACCCAGAGGCGCCTTAGAAGAAAGGTCTGGTGATCTACTTCTTAAAAAATCAGCCATTGAAAACCCTGTGGAGCACAGGTCTACTCTGACACACATGGGGTCGCCATAAGTAGGAGTCAACGTGACTACCTCTGGGAGGAAAAGCATTGGTTGGAAGCATTGTTAGTTCCAGTGCATTGAAGGCAGGACAATTCACAATGCACTTTTGCAGCGTTACATGCAGGATCAATTTGTAGGTGATCTCCTTTGGGAGAATTCCTCAAATGAGCCATGGCTTTGGAGGTGACATATTTCTATCATCCATGAGTGATGAAACTATAACCGGTATTTTTTTCCACACCAAGTCTCTATCACTTTACTGCTATTTCTTTTTACAAGTTCCTCCTGATAGTTTAATTTGTAAAAATATTTGAAAAATTTCTCCAGTTCCATGAATAGGTTAGAAATTTAAATTTGGACATGTGATGTTGGTTTAAACAAAGGGATATAAGGTAAGGGTTTCTGTATCCACCGCCTTTGTGATCCTGGGATAAGTTACTTGAAAACAGAGAACTTTCAAGCACAAAGAATCTTAAAGAAATTCATCATGGTCGTGCTAAACGGTTTTACCCCCAAGGGATCCAGGACCTGAATGACTCTCCCTCTACCTCCAAAATATGTGGCAGAAAGGCTTTAGGATGGCTGGGGGGAAATGGTTGCAGCAAAGCACAGCCAACATAAAATGTTGAAAAAAATTCTCATAAACTGTTAAAACTGTCCCATGCCACATCAATTGCTATACATTTTAAAAAGAGTTAATAGACACACCATTATTGGTGAATTGATCATTTGATAAATTGATTGCTTCTGGGAGGGCTTGTTGGGGCTGCCAGTTACCCCTCCATGGACCTGCCTGTCTCTTGATTGTTTCTGGGTTCCTGGACTGGGCAAGACGTCCCTGGGTTGTGTCCAGTTTGCTGTCGATTGCCAAGGAAGCTCCCCACTATGCCTGTGTGGCCACAGTTTCCCTGGCCAGATGGAAAACAGTGTGTAATTCAACACCTTCTGGGCCTGTTCAAAAGGCAATCTGTCCCAATCGGATGTTATCCAAAAGCAGATCAGAAATCACCAGGCAAGTAAAAAATTCACTCACAGTGATCCAGGATAAAAATAACCAGTCAATTTTGTGTAGTTGTTCAGCTGATCCATGGCTTATCTGAGTTGACTGATTTTTTTTTCAATCGTCCCGGTGTTTACTGGCATGTAGACACAATTTTCTATATCCCAGGGCTGACCAAGGTCCAGAATTTAAGAAAATGACTTTCAAGGGGAAAAAAAACTCTCAAGGAAGGATGGTAAACAAGTTCACTGAGTGGGCAGAATAAAGACACACCGATTTCATCGACTGGGATCAGTGGTCTTTGCACTGGGCTAGGTGTCTGGTTAGTGTTAGTTCACTGTATCCTGATTTTCTGTCTTGGGAAGTTCATTGTTTTGCTGCAACGACTCTCCCCTTCCTCGTTTCCCTTTTAGTTTCTGTTAACTGCTATCATTTGATATTTTTATTACGTTCATTCAATAGAAATGAGTCACTCTACCATGGACTAGTTTGCTTGATGTTAAGTGTCGTACTGTGCAACCAATACTCAAGTGGAGCTAGGAAATATGTTCTGTGAACACAAAAGTGAGTGATTTGCAGGTTGTGTAAACCAGGCTGCTTAGCACCGCTCATACATTAATCATTTGATTGAACCACAGAGCATGAGAGGCACCTGTATACAAGGATAGATTTAAAATAAAAAAAAACCCGTTTCTGTGGAGTCGATTCCAGCTCATAGTTGACCCCATAGGACAGAGTAGAACTGCCCTGCAGGGTTTCCAGGGAGTGGCTGGTGGATTTGAACTGCCGACCTTTTGGTGAGCAGCCAAGCTCTTAACCACTGCCCACTAGGGCTTCCAAGGATAGATACAGTTTAGGTTTATTGCCTGCTGGTAGGGCAAACGGTTAAACGCTTGACTACCTTAGCCGAAAGATTGGCGGTTCAGTCCCATCCACAGGGACCTTGGGTGACAGGCCTGGCAACCTGCTTCTGGAAGGTCACAGCCTTGAAACCCTATGGAGCAGTTCTTCTCGGCGCACATGGAGTCGTCATGAGTTGGAATTGACTCACCTGGCAACTAACAGCAACAACAACAATTTCTTTAATAGGGATGAACAGATAGGAGGACTAACAATAATATACTTTATTCTGGTTTATTTATAAAAGGGATGGATGAGTAAGACCATTATCTCAGAATACCTTTTCACTAAGGCTTTCAAAGCTTTTACTGAAGGTGACTCATCAATCCGCACCACCTGTCTAAGGTAGACGTAAATCCATTGCTGTCAAGACACTTCCGACTCATAGCGACCCTGTAGAACACAGTACAACTGCCCCATAGGGTTTCCAAGGCTGTAAATCTTTACAGAAGCAGACTGTCTGGGTTCTGGATTCTTGAATTTCTTATTCTCTGTTTTCCACCAACCTTTCCTAACATCTTTTCCCCTCCTTAGAGGAAGACACTTCGACCTTCTTCTACGGACATGCAAAAAACCCAGATCAAACCAGCCAGTCAAATACCTCTGCTCTCATGTTACTGGCACCCCAGAAGCTTGCCCCTTATATATTTTGCAACCATAACCACATCTAATTTTTCCTAATTGTACATACGTATAATCTTGTCACAGAAAGTTTAGAAAATGAAAAAAAGAATATAAAAAACTTTCTAATTATGCCATGCATAAATAACCAGAGTTAACATTTTGATGCATTTTCTTCCAATTTTTTTCTCCTCATTTGTTTGTGTGAGTGCTGATTATATTGAATGGAGCAGTGATTGTGTTTTGGGGTGGTTTTTGGATCTTGGATGTAAGTGGGTTGATTCACCTGTTGATTGGTTAT